CAGGAGGACACCCAAGTTGCGAGCCGTATCCGTGGGGGCCAACGATTCGCCCCCAATAGTCAGTGATGGCACCAACTGACTATATCGGGACGTCGGATATAGTCAGTTGGATATGGACAGCCACTCGGCCTTGGATGGGTTGAGTCTGAGTCTGTTCCTCCCCATCCAGATCCACACTGCCTCCAGGCACCGGGACATCACTTCAAGGGCATCATTGGGGTGATATGGGGTGGAGATGTACAGCTGAGTATCATCAGCGTACTGGTGGTACTTCACCCCGAAACCATGGATGATCTCACCCAGCAGCTTCATATAAATGTTGAACAGAAGGAGCGAGAGGACCGATTCTTGTGGCACCCCACATACAAGGGGCCTCGGGGTCGACCTCTGCCCCCCTGTCAACACAGACTGCGACCGGTCGGAGAGAAAGGAGGAGAACCACCGCAACACGGTGCCTCCCACCTCCAACCCTTCCAACCGGTGCAGCATGATACCATGGTTGATGGTATCAAAAGCTGCTGAGAGGTCTAACAGGACCAGGACCGAGGAGCAACCCTTGCTGAGGAAATAAGCTAGTTTGGCAGGCGTCCTGTCAAAGGTTGCTCTGAAGCAGGATAGCATTGGCGTCGCGGATGGAGGGGCCCCGGCAGCAGCTGGCTGGGATAGAATATGCTGCAGGGCTGCTCCTGGTTGCTGCATTCCAACTGGCTGCTGAGCTGTTGCTGTGCTGGAGAGGGGGGGGGCACTCTAGCCGGCTGCTGGATTAGTCCCCCCTGTGGTGCCGGGATCGTTGGGAGAGAGAGAGAGATGTGCCTTCTTGGGGGTGCATTTTGGAGAAGTATCAAGAGAAATGCCAAAAGGGCAATCATTTGGGGATTAAATTTCAAATGAAATTGGGTCTTCAGGGTAAGGAGACATGAAGAACTTTCAACTGCAGGTTTCTAAAAATCTTATTAAAATGAATGTCTAGAGGCAGCTCTTTAACTCATTAATCCAGAGGGAGCAAAAGAAATAGGGTCTCAATGAGGATCTTAACTATTTGGCTCAGGAATAACAGAATTTAGAATTTAGAATTTGGAGGTCTTCTAGTCCAACCCCCTGCTCAAGCAGGAAAACTGAGGATGCCAAAATCTGAGTAGAGGGCCTGGGGAAGGAGTCAGAATAACAGAATAACACTTAGAAGGGACCTTAGGGAGGAACCCTATACCAATTCAGCAGGGCTGGGCTTCAGAATTTTTAGCAAGGGGTTCTCTGCCCGGTTGCTGGGTGGGCATGGCCATGGTGAGCGTGGCCTAGTCAGCCTCCAGCACCACAGCGGTGTGTGTGTGTGTTTTTGCCCGCCCTGGACTCTGGAGGCTTTCCTGGAGCCTCCAGGAGGGCGAAAATGGCCTCCCCAGGCTCCGGAGGCCCTCTGGAGGCTGGAAACAGGCCTCTTTCCAGCCTTCCCTAACTTCTAGTAGGCCCATTTTTCGCCCTCCCCAAGCCTCTGTGCGTGCCCTGCACTTACCTGTATCCAAAGAGGCCGCATGGGGACTCCTGGGAGTGGCGGGGCAGAGTGGGAAGGGCCAGCCAGGAGTGGGATTTGGGGGTTCTCCGAACTGCACAGAATCTTAGCTAGAGGTTCTCCCGAACCCCTGCGAACCTCCAGCAGCCCACCCCTGCATTTCAGAGAAATGGCTGTCCAGCTTTTTCTTTAAAACTTCCAGTGATCAAGGACCCAGAACTTCTGGAGACAAGCAGTTCCACTGTCAGGAAGTTTCTCCTTAGTTTTAGGTTGCTTTTCTCTTTGTTCAGTTTCCATTCATTGCTTCTTGTTTTGCCTTCTGCTTCTTTGGAAAATACTTTGCCCTCCCCCTTCTTTGTGGCAGCCCCTTAAAAGCCTGTTGCCTATCACACTTGTGGGCAAAGCATGTGAGCCATTTCCTCTTTTCAATGGTCCATGAAAGTACAACTATAATATGTAGATGCAGATAATAAAGTCAAAAAAAGGTGAACAACTTTTTTACAGGACTATAGATACATTGAGGCTGGCTGTGACAAGGAATGGCTGGGAGGGGAGGGGCCAGGCGAGGCACCTCTTGACGTGAGTGACATTGAGTTGGCCACGCCCACCCAGTCACATGGCCACACTCACCCAGTCCCATGGCCACTTAGCCACACCCACCCAGTCACATGGCTACTTAGCCATACCCACAGAACATGTTAAATTATTTGAATCCCACCACTGCTGTTAACTATATGTAGAATTGTTTCAGCAATCAGAGCTTTGATTGCTACCTTTGTGTTGGCAGATTACAGATTATAGTGCTTGATTGGGGAGACGGAAGTGAAAAGGTTCTGGCTGGTCGTTGTTCTAAAATTGTCTCTCTCCTGTAACAAGCAGACATAATGTTGGTTTGTTAGATACATTGCAATGTCAAAAATTAATTATATCCATGACAGCAGTTGTGTTATTTGACAAGAGCCTTTCACTGCAGCTGCCTTCAGATCCTTTCTCTTTTAGTGATTTCAGTATAATATAAACATGACACTTTGCAAATGGCTATGTTTCAGGAAATTGTTCTTTCAGAGCAGCAAATTTATCCTCATTATTTTTCCTTTTTCACATTTAATTTAAGATTTTTTTTTTTCTAGATCAGGGGTCTCCAAACTTGGCAACTTTAAGACCTGTGGACTTTGAAGTTACAATGGCATGGAAAAAAGTGACTTATGATTTTTTTTTCACATAACCTTTGCAGCATCCCCATGGTCACATGATCAAAATTCAGATACTTGGCAACTGACTCATATTTATGATGATTGGGGTGTCCCAGGGTTGTATGATCACCTTTTGTGACCTTCTGACAAGAAAGGTCATTGTGGAAGCCAGATTCCTTTAACAACCATGTTACTAACTTAACAACTTCAGTGATTCACTTAACAGCTGTAGCAAGAAATGTCATAAAATGGGGCAAAAGTCAGTTAACAACTTTCTCACTTAGCAATAGAAATGTTGGGCTCAATTGTGGTCATAAGTCAAGGACTACCTGTAATGCAAAATCATTCCTAAGTGCAGAGAAGATGACTTCTTTTTTGAAGGCCAGTACTGTATACTGCCACCTAAAGAGACCATGACGACAGGTTCAAAAAAGTCAAGATGTTGACATCCCTGCATTCCAAGCTCTTCCCCTTGTTTATCTGCAACACACACAAAATTGATTGCATGGTGATGGCTGTCATATTGACTTTTTTTTATCATATCCTTGTGGACACCGCTTGGAGATTCTTAGGTAGTTAAACCCAAAGTATAGAGGGGAGAAGGAATGGCCTTGAAGGAAGGAGGAAGAGCTGCCACCAAGGCAACAGATAGGTAAAATGGACTTGGACCCAGGCTAAAAAAATAACTTGAGAAAATGTCTCAGACAAACATCTTCATTGTCCACAAAAAGATAAAGTTAGGATGGGATGCACCTTCAGATTTGCAAGATTCTGTTTCTATGCTTGTTACCATAAAATAATCCTGATTTATATGGCATTGGTGTCTTAATCTGAACTAACTTGTTGGACTGACATAATGTCTACAATTGTACCATTGTGTTGAGTTATGAAGTACTTCAATACCCCTCCACTATCTCTCCCATTTCTCCTGCCTTATGACACAAGACACAAACAGCCCCTGAAAACCCTCCACTGGTTAGAAGGAACTGTGAACTATTTTTCCAGGGTCTGTAGGGGAAGCAAAAACCCACTATTTCTCCAGGAAGCAATGAGTGTACTACTGGGAAATTATACCCATGGAAAACATTTTTTTTCTCATGATTTCCCTTGAGAATTAATGGAAGTATAGAATAACAGAGGAACTGCAGACCACTGGAGGGAATGTTGCATCATGAAAGACAGGACAGTTAGCACATATTTCTTTCATCTTGGAATAAATGAATGACTCAACCAACCAACCAATCAATCAATTGTAAAAATCTGAGAGATGGGAGACGAACTAACTTTCTCTGAGTATTGAGATATTGGCTTTATTTTTGTGTTGTGTTGTAGGTATGTTTAGATGCCCAGAGTTACTGTTGAGCTGGCTGGCCATAAAAATCAAGTAAATAAACAAATAAACATATACATGCATTTTCATTAGGTGTATTCAAACAGGAGATGCTTACTCTTGGTGACCAGATAGACTCACATGGAGAAGATGATAGAGATGGATGGATAGATATATAGATAACAAAAAAGATGGTCTTTCAGAAGCCACCTGCATTCCACATTTGACATCTCTCTTTAGAGATGTGTTCTGTCCCCCTTCCCCACACAGGCAAACACACAACCAGGCACGCCTGCCAAGATTTTATTAAGCAATCAGACTATAAACCCTTGTAGATAAGAGTTTTGGCAGTAAACTGTGAAATGCTTGCCAAGTCAGTTTTCACTCACAGTCAGCAAGAGAGAGTTTCTCCTCAGTCCTGTTCAGTAGCAAAAAGTAATCCACAAAGCAAGAGTTAGCCAAGGTCCAATCCAAATATGCACAAGCCAGATTTCAGATAACGTGATGTGACTCTCAGGTTTTTAACTTTGACCGTCACAATGCCTGAAGAGCAATCACACTCACTTTTATTCCTTGTGGGGTGTGGCTCAGTGACTCAGCTCAATCTCTGGCCCTCCCACGCCTCTTTCGTTGCTGCGCACGCTTCTCCCTCCGACGCTGCCTGGGATCAAGCCAGGATTCATCATCCTCGCTCTCTATCTGTTGTTGTTCTGATATGCTTTCCTCCTGGCATATCCCAGGCTGTTCCTCTTGGCCTTCGGATGGAACCTGAGGCATTGCCAGAGAGGAGGGTCCTGGAGAGGGAGGCCTTATCAGTTCCTCCCCATCACCTCCTGAGTCCTCTTCCTCTGTTAGGACAGGCTTGGGAGTCGGGGTCACAACAAGATGTCCAAACCTCTATAGCTATCCTTCCTGCTGAAAAGAGCTTGCTTATGCTCTTGATAAATATCCCTATATTTTCTGTTCTTCACAGGAGAAAGCTATGTATGTTCATCAGACAACTTCTTTAAGAAAGTGGAATATACCAAGAATGTCAACCCAAACTGGTCAGTCAATGTGAAAACCTCTGCCAACATGAAAGCTCCTCAGTCCCTGGCCAGTAGCAACAGTGCCCAGGCGAAGGAGAACAAGGATTTTGTGCGTCCCAAGTTGGTGACCATCATCCGGAGTGGAGTGAAGCCAAGAAAGGCGGTGCGTGTGCTCCTGAATAAGAAAACAGCCCATTCTTTTGAGCAGGTGCTCACTGACATTACCGAAGCCATAAAGCTGGAAACAGGAGTTGTTAAAAAACTGTATACTCTGGATGGCAAGCAGGTAAGGCCTTTAAACCTTCCATTCAGCTCTGTTCAGCAGTGGGACAAACAAAGACACAGCAGCCTTTTGGTAAACTGGTTCCTGTTATGGTCAAGCCAAAAGTTTATGTGGAAGAAAAATGTTTCAACCTGGTGGTTCATAGGCTGAAGTTTAGAATCCACCTAATCTTAATCTGGAGTCTAGAATCCAGAAATTAGATTTCTTAAATTCACATGTCCCTTTCAGGAGATTCTTTTTCTTTTTTTTGTGTCTCTTTAACAAAATTTGATTTCTTACTCTTACTGGTAGAGGTCTTGTATTGGTCTGCTGATTTGGGTCATCTAAAATTTCTATAATTCAGATTATCTTCTCTTGAGTGGTGTATGAGATTACATTTAGACTAATGTGATCGGTTATGGTTATGTGAACCTCGACATCATGTTAGTAAATCATGGCTTATGATTTAACATGATCTGTGGGGAAGTACCTTCTGTGACTTATTCTAAAACCATAAAATCACCCTGAATGTCCTCCTGCATTATAAATGCACTGGAAAATAAGTAACATTTGCACATTGATTCTGTTGCAATATTTTTAGGATCAGACTCAATAATGATAATAAAGATTAGAGGTTTAAATATATCTCTCTTTAATCTTAACAGGCATTCTATATTCACTGAATATTTACAGATAGAAGCAAGTGAAATGGTGAGGGTGGCTCCTTATATATACAGAGGGCGGAGTCAAGGATGGGAGTGGTGAATTATGAATACATTAGGAAACAAAGAATAAGTTAACCCCTGATATCCCATATATACATTATTTACAGATTAGGGAATAAGGCATTTACATCTGACAAATCCCCCTCTAAATGCCGGTTCGCTATACAACACCAATTACATTCAGATTCAGGACAATATAAGACATATAATTTTGAAGTTAAATATTTGTGCTGTTTAGAAGGTAAAGGCTTCGTTAATATGTCAGCTAATTGTTCAGAGGTATCACAATGCACTGCTTTGATAAATCCATCTTGAGACAATTGTCTCACATGTTTAAACTTTATATCTATATGCCTGGATCTTTGTCCAATGGCATCGGATCTGGATATTTCAATGGCTGCTTTATTATCTTCATGCATAACAAAAGGTAAAGCAGGTTTTTTCCAGACATCTGAAATCAAATCATTAAACCATACAAGGTTATTTGCAGCTTTGGATAAACAAACATATTCCGCTTCTGTGGTTGAAGTGGCTACCAGTTCTTGTTTACCAGTGTACCAGTAAACTGGACAGTTATTTAATAGAAAAATATAACCAGAAGTGCTCTTTCTGCATGATATATCTCCAGTCCAATCCGCATCTGCGTAACAAGTAAGTTTTGGCTCTTTGTCATTACTAGGTTCTAATACTAAACAAAAATCTAATGTACTTTTTAGATATCTTAGAATTCTTTTGACAGCTTCCCAATGATACATAGTTGGTTTACTAACATGTCTTGACAATAAATTGAGAGGTAATGCAATATCTGGCCTGGTCCAATTAGATATATAAAGAAGTGAACCTATGACTGATCTATAGAATGTATTATCTTTAAATTCAGGGGAAGACTCATCATTGTTTCTAAGGAAATCAGTTTGCATGGGAGTGTCACATGGTTTAGCATTGTTTAAATTGCATTTGTTTAGAAGTTCAATAATCTTATCTTTCTGAGTGAGTTTGAATCCCCTTCTAGTTTTGTTAATTTGTACACCAAGGTATTTGTTTACTTTACCTAGAGATTTCAACGAAAAATGTTCGTTTAGCTTATTTACAAAGGTTTCTCTTCTCTCCTTGTGTTTTCCTATATATAAAATATCATCTACATAAATTAACACGAATTCAATGTGATCATCACTTTTTTTTACAAAGAAACAGTTATCAGCGGTGGTAGCGTTAAAATCCATGGTCTTAAGTACTTTTACCAAACAATCATACCATCTTTTGCCAGATTGTTTTAACCCATATAGACTTTTGTTCAATAGCCAGATTTCATTCTTATTAGTGTATTGACTGTGTGGTGCCCTTACATATATTTCCTTATCTAGTTTCGCGTGTAAGTACGCAGTCTGTATGTCATATTGGAATACATCAAGATTGAGTGCAGATGCCACTACCAGAGCTGTTTTAACACTCTCTGTTCTCACTGTGGGAGAGTATGTGTCAGTATAGTCCTCCGGATATTTTTGTGCATAACCTTGTGCAACTAATCTGGCTTTGTATAGAGTATTGCCTCCTTCTAGATTCTTAATTTTATAAATCCACCTAGTACCTATGATTGTTTTATCTTTAGGTGCGGTCGCAGGTGTGAATACATTTAATCCTTGCAAACTTTCCATCTCTTTTTTCATAGCTAGTTCCCATTTTTCCTTTTCTTCATAAGGGAGTTTTAATACTTCCTCATATGTATTAGGTGTTATTTGTTCACCATCCATATGCATTATATAATCTCTGTATTTACCTGGTATTTGATTTCTATTGTTTCTAATAGCTCTTTCAGGTTTGCTATGGTTGTCATGCAAATATCTTGCTTCCTTTTTTGTTAATGTGTCTGTCTTTATTTTGTGCTGACTATTTGTCCAAGTTTTGGTTTTGTTTGTATTTTTGTTGATATTTTGATTCTCTATTGTTCCTCCCTCACAAGATTTTGTATCTTTGTATTTATCTGGAAATATTTCATTAAGATGTAATTTAGACCAATTTGCTTGTTCATGGAACACAGCTGTTCTGGAGACTATAAATCTGTTATTATTATCAATGAATCTGTACCCTTTGGTGCCAGTTTCATATCCCATAAATCTTAATCTTCTGGATACGTTTTCTCCCTTTCTTCTCAACTGCTTAGGTATATGTACGTCTGCAGTGACTCCAAATATGTGCATGTGTGCTAATTTGGGTTTCCTATTATACATCACCTCATATGGTGTTTTATTCACAATACTGGACCAGGTTCTATTTTGAGTGTAATTTGAATAATGTAAGGCTTCTGACCAAAATTGTTTGCCTAAACCAGCATCCTCTAATGTGCATCTAATCATGGTTTGCAGTGTGGAATTCTTTCTCTCTACAACCCCATTTTGGAATGCAGAAAATGGACTAGACGTGAAATGTAGCATTCCTCTATCCTTTAACCATTGGGAGAATTCTTTAGACATGAATTCACATCCCCTATCTGTCATAATTTGTTTTATTCTGATATTATGTTGTGTTTCTATGCGTTTGTAGAATTCCTTAAATTTCTGAAAGGTTTCATCCTTGTGTTTTAATGTGTAAACAAAACCATAGCGACTATAGTCATCTACTATTGTTAGGAAGTAACGCTTTCTATAAGTGATTGATGGAGTTAATGGACCAACTAAGTCCATATGTACTAAGTCAAAAATTTTGTTAGTCGATCTGTTGGATTTTTTTGGTCTGGGACTAGTTTTTAGTTTAGTGGATTTACATACTGAGCATTCCAAATAGTTTTCACAATTTTTTATTTTGACACCTTCTGCGTGTTCAGTCATTTTTTGTACTACAGGAAAACTTGCATGTCCTAACTTCCTATGTAAGATGTGAGCACACTCATCATGAATTGGTTTACCTATTCTTGGTCTCTTCTCTTTGTGTGTATTTGTGTGATCATGAGATATTTCACATTCATCATTGTCACTGTTACTAACATTTTCATCATCTGCCTCAATACAATCCTCCATATTTGAGTCAATGTTATGTAACCATCTTTCTTTTGTTACTAGATAGGGTAGGCCTCCTTTAATCATCACAGTACCTACATTTGTTTTGTCTTTCTCTAAAGTTGCTTTCCCCTTTGAGAAAACTATATTGATATCAGAATCTCTACTTAGTTTTATGACACTTAGTATGTTATGAGGTATTTCAGGGATTAACAATACCCCCTCTATTTTTCCTAGACCAGGCAATGTTATGTTTCCTCTGCCTAATACTTGAACCTTTTCTTGATTAGCCACTTTTATTACAAACTTATCTTCTGTAAATGAAGATAGAATATTTTTGTTATTAGTGGTGTGATTGGTTGCCCCAGAATCGATAAGCCAATTATTGTTCTCATTTTGTTGTGTTTTAGTGTTGTCTTGTTTATTTAGTCCATTCAGTGAACCAGATTTTCTCTCTTTTGAATTTTCTCTACCCCCTCTACTCTCTCTGTAATTTGGTGGGCTTCTATATTTATATCTATCTGTGGAAGACTGTCTATAATTGTATCTGCTTCTATATTCTGGCCTATGTCTCTCCTTTGATATTTTGGGACAGTCTCTTCTATTGTGTTCCCTGGACCCACAATTGTGGCATTTAAAAGTTTCATTGTATTTTTCTTGGAAAGCTACCTTCCTAAAAGATTTGTGTTCTGTGTGATTGCTATAACGATTCTTTCTTGAATTGTCTTCAGCTATCAATTTGTTAGATAGACTCTCTATGGATAAATATCCTAGATTGATGGTGTCTAAGTGTGACATAAAACTATCCCATGATGAATCAAGTGAATTGATAATAACACTTTTCATTGTTTGATCTGAAATCACTTCCCCCCTCAGATGCAGCTCAGCTCTTATTTTGTTTAGAGATATCAAATGCTCACTTATGGAAACCCCTGGTTTTACTCTAGAAGAAAAGAAATCCTTAGACATTCTCGTAGTGGTAGCTACACTGTCGCTGTGGAATAGATTAAACATGCATTGAATTATTTCTGAGACAGTTAGGTTTGGTTTGATACTATGATACATTGCAGGAGATACGCTAGATATTATTAAGAAGAATGCTCTATGATGTAAACAATCTATTTTTAAAGTCCAAGGTCTTCTTGGAGGACTAGTGATAAAGAATAGTAAATTTTCTTTCATAAAGACAACCTGGAGCTGTTGATACCACTCTTGCAAATTAATGCCATCAACTCTAAGTTTTGGGAAGTCACTGGGTAAGTTTCCCACATTATTTTGTCCATTACTTACAACCTGAGGTAGTCCG